AACATTCATTCATTCAATGTGCGAATTCCACAGGTGTGGAACTGACTAATAACTAATGTCACTTAATCGGTATCATTGGTGCCCAAGTAAATGGGAAAACAGTGCCGCTTCTGATTATTTCGGTACATTTCTGGGACACTGTGTTCACTCATGTTTGGTTTCTGTGCTTTTTCTTGGAGTTGCTCATAATGTCCATTCAGGAGACAAAGCAGCTCATGCTGTCATGTGCACAGTGCATGTCCTCCCTCTGTGTGTCTCTGCTGACTTACCTGCTTCTCATTCTGCTTCTCTTTTCAGGTTATTACTTTGATGTCTGAATTTTTTAAATATTGTTATCAAAGTTACTTTTGGGTTTAAAAATAATTTGTTCCCCCCCCCAGCCAGTGAAAGCCCTGACAATCCATCTGTGTGCCCCCCACAGGGAAGGACGACATGGAGATGTGCGAGCTGAGCCTGGAGGAGACGGGCCTGACCCGCAAGCGAGGCGCCGAGATCCTGGGCCGGCAGTTCGAGGAGATATGGGAGCGCTGTGGCGGCATGCAGTACCTGCGGAAGGCCATCGAGAACCGGCTGGCCCGGCCCACATTCGCCACGGCCATGCTGCAGAACCAGCTCAACTAGGCCGAAGTGGGCAGGCCTGCCAGTGCATGATGGGAAGGCGGAGGCCACCAGCACGGAGAGCAGTGAGCAGTGCCCTCGTGTGAAAGTGAACTCTCTATTTTTTCATAATTAGCTATTGTTTTCATTCTTTTCACTTTTGATTATTTTTCAACGTCAGCTGCAGCATTTCTATGCTGAGATGTCAGCTAGACTATGGGAAGTGTATATTTCTCCTATAAAATCCACTCTTTGCTTTAATCCTACTTCTGTTTTAACTGTGAGGCCTTAAAGACGATTCTTGCACACGGTAATCGCTAAAACGCAACACTTGTCAATGCTGCTCCTTGTCGTAAGAGATTAAACTCACCTGGAATTTTTCCGATAGTATATGTTGATTATGAAAATATTCTAAATGGTTTACTTCTGTTAGTAATTTAAAAATTTGTTCTTAAAATGGTTTTTCTTTTCCTGCATAACAGGAATTTTAACAATGAGCTTTTTGTCACAGCTGCTATCATGACTGGATTTATACTGAAGATTTGCAGTTTATGCTTTTTTGTATAAAAACAGGTACAAAGGGGCTTTAAACCTTTCATTGATTTGCAGAGTAGACATACGAAATAACGGTTTGGCGTTTCCTGATGTTCACTCCTTCACACACACTCGTACACACACATATGCACACGTTTTGTATTCATATCTTTGTGGGGACCGTCCATTCATTTCTATGGGCATACCCCTAATCCCAACAATGACGACAAACAAAATACAAAACTTTTGTCATTTTTAGTTTTTTGATTGCAGTCAGATTTTATAAAATTGAGGTTACCCTTTTTGGGGACTGAAAAAAAATGGTCCCCACAACATCATCATGACAGGTTTTTATTACGTTGAGGGGACATTTGGTCCCCACAATGTAGTGAATACAAAAACACACAGAGACACACACACACACACGGGGCTCGCTGTACAAAGCATCCTCCACGCTCCTTTCGGGTCCGAGAGCGACCACGGTATCTCTGGGAACAGGCTGCTCGCCGGGGTGCTTGTGAGCCTCTTCTCCTTTTCTTTGGGCCACTGCGCTCTGCAAAAATGGATTCTGATTGACTTGGTCGGCCTCCTCATCCCTCTGGCGCGAGCTCACTCTGTTCCCTTTCATATTCTGAAAAATGAGCCTAATCGTAAGTGTAGGAAGGCAGATACAGGCACATCTCTGACGCAGTGGGGATGAGGGCAATCTCACGCAGTGGGGATGAGGGCAATCTCACGCAGTGGACACCACACCCTCCGCCCATTAGGGTACATCACTCGTCTGTCTCTTTGTGTTCCTTTTTTTTTCTTTTTTTTTTTTTAAATATATATGGTTAAATAATCCAGGATTACGTTGCAGGGTTAGATATATTATGCTCTTGTTATTATATTTTATTTTCAAATAACGGAATAGTAAAAGTAGACGTAAATGATGCAATTAAGCATATATAAGCAAATATAGCAAATATCATGGGGGAGGAGTTTTGTACAGGGAACAAAAGTGAGGTTTCTTGCAGATTAGGTGTGATTGACATGGTAAAATAAAGGGCAGCCTTGCCCAGATTCATGAATGCATGATGTGTCTTTGGCAAGAATTTGTTGTTTTTTTTTTTGTTACCTTGACCTCAGATTTTTATATATATATAGTGACATCTACAGTATATATAGAAACATTGTTTATGAACTTTGAGGGCTATTTTACACAATGAGATTGAGCTGAGCTATTAAAAACCTTGCCGACTTGCCGAAGCCTATTTAACCTACAGCTAGTTAGCAATATTTTTGTAACAAACACAACAGGGAGAACTGGACTGCAGCCAGGAAGCAGCAGCAGTCACACGTGGGATTGGCTCTGGGAGCCCATTCTCCGCCTATCCCACTTGCGGTGGGGACTTCGGCCACGCTGCAGGCTTCCCAGCCGGTGTGCGCGCAGGATGGGCCGGAACACGCCCCCGGTTATCCATCGGTCATTTGGTCTCTTCCTGGACTTTCCTGTGATGTGTATCGAATGATGCCGACACTGACCGGCCCTTCACATGCTCTGATCGATGCTCCTGATTCTGTTTTTTGGCTCGACACTTTTCTAATGCCAATTTCTAACAGATGTCCTGTGATGCAACAATAAATACATTCCTTGTTTAACTCCAAATGATATTTTGTTATTTTATACTTAAGTTGCGGGCATTTAATTACAGTGTTATATACCACAATACAAAGTTATAGTAGGAAAATTTTGCTTTAATATACATTTATGGCGCAAAATGGGAAAAGTCACACATTCTACTGTCATACAGTTACAAATGTTTCATTTTATTTATTTGTTTTTTATATTCACGCACCATATAACTAATTGCTGAATTATTTGAACCATAAACACAAAAGTCTATTGCGTACTTATTCTAAAAATCTACAGAAATATATATAAAAAGGATTAATGAATGATGGATCAAACTAAAGGAATGAGTCATCTATAAAAGGTGTTTAACTCAAGCTGCTGCCATTACTTACTTTGTTCCAATACTACTGGATAAGTATTAATTTTATATATAGAAAATATTTGTTCTGGGGCACAAAATTAAGGTTTTGTCTAAGTAACTGGCTAGTGACAATGAATGCTACAAAATCATAATACAAACCATATTCTTTTTGAATCCATTTGTCTTTCTCTACGGAAACTGCGCTACTGGGAAAAATAGGCCAAAAGTATCGTGATGATAATGTGTTCTGATTATGACAAAATTCTGAGTTCTTATGCAAAAAATCTCATTTTGAAGAAACGAGTAAATTTGGGAAAGGGAAATTTTTTTTTTTAAATCATCCCTACAGTAGCATCATCACTCCACACGTGACATCAAAAAGGAAGATGCTTCCGTCCGTCCCCCCACTCTGTAAAGGGGGTTTGCGGATTGCTGGACCACCCTGTATCTGTTCCATCTCCATAACCTTCCTCCTTCTTGTTCAGTCGTTCCCTCCATCCCAGCAAAGTCACATTGCGAGCCATTAAACGTCACCGTTGCCGACTGGGGTTTGAAAAGCGGGAGCGGCTTAGGGGGACGCTGCCTTCTCACTGCTAGCTAAGGGGGGGGGCTGTGCTGTGTCCTTCACTGACCCCCCAGCGCTCCTGTCCGTAGCTGTCATGTCTGAGCAGGAAGCAGGAAGTATGCAGTCTTGTCATTATTATTTTTATTCCTGTGTTCAGCATTTCTCACTGAAAAATGCAGAATATCTTAAATTACGTTCATTTTGCTGATAGCAATTATTTGCAATTTTTCCACAGTAGTTATTCTGATGCAAATATGGTTTGTAATTTACAATATTTCTGTCTTTTCATTAAATTATGTTGTTTTTTTTTGCAAATGTTATTATGGGGGAAAAAAACATTGGCATCCTTAAGATTAATTAAGATATATTTACATATTAGTTTAGGAAAATATACAACACATAACATAAATACAGTGGTACCTCAGTTCTCAAACTCATTAGAACTCGAATTTCTTAAAAGTCGAACCAACCAGTTTGGAAAAAAAATTACCTAGAGCTCGATCTGAATCTCAGAAGTCAAACCGTGAACGCTGACCTAAGATAACTTGTACGTGCGGGGAAATGAGTCACGCGGCACATCTCTCAGCGGAAACAAAGGGTAAATCTTCAGTCTCAGCCTCGCATTCGCTGTGATAGCATCGTGCATGTTTACACTAGCTGAATACAGTAAAAATACAATTAGACAATGATACACAGTAACAGTAATTATTATTATATAATAAAATACATTTAAAAATAAATATTTCTTATTCATTATATTAATATTAACCATTAATATATTTAATTACAATAATATTGCCGTGCCGGAACAGAGACAAAGGTGCAGACGTCAGGGTATCGGGGAATACGGGGTTTAATTACAGGTAAGGCAGACAAAACGCAGACTGACAATACAATGACCAGGCTGGGGAAACAAACTGAAACGCGGATGAAATACAGAGGGCTAATTACAACAACCAGAAACAGCTGATCACACAGGGATTCCACAAGGGGTTAACGAGGGGGCGTGGCACACGGAAGGAGCGGACGATAGGGGCAGGACACATTGTTTGGATACATTAATTTTCTTACTTTACAAATTACTGTTTTGATAAATGTGCTTAGATGTGTTTAGTACAGTATATGCTATTCTTGTTTTATCCGGTTCATTTTGTGTTTAAATGCTAAAAAAAAAAACATATTTAGGCGTAATTTTTTGGGGCCGGGAACCAATTAATTGGTTTTCCATTATTTCTTATGGAGAAAATTCGATCACAACTCGAACGTTTTAGGATTCGATCCGGAGTTCTGAACAGATTAAGTTCGAGTTCTGAGGTACCACTGTACTGTTGATTACATTAGAATATTTATCCAATATTCAATTACCTTTATTACACCAGCCAGTACAATATTAATCTATGGAGAATTCAGTACAAAGAGTTTTGGAAGTATAAGGCTACATTACCATACAATGTTTATAATTTATGTTTGTAATAACGTTATCCAAGGTTCGAAACATAGGCAGACAGGGGTCCTATAGCTATATAGGCTAATCATTAAAATTAATATAAGCACCAGTACAATGAAAAGCTGAACAATAGCTCTATAAATTGATTCAAATCGAAATTCCGAGCAACACAGACACCTAGCTGGGACTTAAAGATGGTCAAAATAATCGTTCAGTATTTTTACACCATTGGAGATCAGTGTGACGAAACAAGCCTGACCAATATCCACTTGGAAAAACACTGGGATTTAGGGAAGATACTGCTGTAGAATCTGTTCATCGTATAAACAATGATTTAAAAATGGTGGAAGAGTTTTAAAATGACAGCAATTCTCCAGCTAGCTAATATTACCCAGCTGGCATTAGATAGCTTACTGAGGCATTAGGCATTAACGTAATTGTACTTGGATATATCAATAATGCAAATATATTTGCAGGGTTTAAAAGCTTTGAAAATCTATGTTTTAATTATTCCAGGCCTATATACACACATATTAAACATTAAAATATTGGCTCTACTCAGAATGAACGGATTTTTGTTTTTGGTGTGTGCTTTGATCTAATATTTTATTTGGCTTGTGTTTAAATGTAATTCTGTATGCCACAGACTACCTGCCAAACTATATTTCTCAGTGGTAATTGTTCCAGACACATTTTTTTTCTCCCTTCTACAATTAAACATCCTGTTGTTGAAATGCTGTTTCCTACGCGTGTATCGTGTGAGATATCCGCAATATGGAGGCATGAACGTTTAGCCACATAAACACTGAATAATATTAAGAACACGAACAATAGCAAAGCTGGTGTCTACCTCGTCCTCGTGTACAGCAATGATAAATCAGGATTTCAGAGATTAACTTGTCAGCTCTGGCAATATTTGCCTGTAAAAATGGAAAAACAGACAATTAGTGAAAAAGGCCAATGCTTAAAGAAAAAAATAGTGATGTTGTGTTAAAAAAAAAAAGAATGAAACTGTAAATTATTGCAAGCGGAACAAATCACACTAGATTAAGCAGAGGAGGTTTTCTGGAAGGAGAACATGTTAAAAAGCATCTCTAAATTAAATCTGAATAGTTGTTTAAAGAATTCCTTGTTAAAATAACAGGCACACATTATTGTGTAGAGGGAACACTACTTGACAGGGGCAAAAATACTTAGTAACTCAGTTACTACTGAAGTACAAATTATGAACAAATCATGAATAAATATGGCTGCAATGTGATAAAAGATACATCACGATTAATTAATGATGAACAAACATGAGATCAGTATTTAACATGTTATTCATGATTTGTTCCTTCAGTAGTTCACAGAATTATCAGATGTAGTAACAAATACAGTAACCGCTTGAGATAAAACACGCATCACATTTCATTAATGATGAATTAACATGAGGCCAGTTTGTAACTAAGACTTAGCCTGTCGTTAATTAATACACAAGTTACAATATAATACTATATTATTTGTGCCCCGTCAAGTAAGGTGTTACCGGAGAAGATGAAGTATCCTCTTCTGAATTAAACAAGTCTGAATCCAAAATATGTTAGTACATTTCTTCAGACACTTGTCAGATTTTGCATAGCTTAATACCGTGTGTTTTGATCCCACTGATTCCTTTCTTTACCTTTGAGACAGAACTGCCTCTGTCGTCCACTGCATATCACGCAGTGTCATGCTAATGGTTCTGTCTGTATAAGAATTATTTCTGAAGTAATTTAATGTGAAGTGATAAGACAGTTGAAGTTTGGGCCCATAATCAGAGATATCTAATTGGACAGGGATGGGATTCCTCTTTGGATTTGGAATTTTATCATTCAGACGTAATTTTCATCATCAAGGTTGTGTAACAGTATTATATATAAAATATATTGTAGAAAGAAACCTTGTCTGATAGTGTCCTCGAGGAAATACTACAGCAGAGACTGACGCAGAGTTATTCTGATGATAAGTTTGTATTACAGAGAAATCATTTCTGTACTGTTGGCAGAAGAGGCAAATGGCTTGTTAGAGCAGCAGGACAAACCAAAGGGCATGTAATGGGTGACTGTTAGCTGCAGTCCAGGACATGTTAGCCGTTATCTTTTGCAGTTTCCGTGGACGTTGGTGCCGTGCTTTATTTTTACCTCGGTAATGAGGTGTTTATTTTATCGACTGAGTCTGCTGTGTCTTCCTCTGTGAGCTCCCAGGAATTATCAGAAAGCCCCAAGTGAGACAGAGAACTCGCCAGTTGAATCTGGGCACCATCGTCACTTTCAAAAACCGGGTTCACTCTCATTGTGCTCTTCAGTGTAAAACTACTGTCAGTTTGTCTATAAAACAGAAAAGACTGTATCCTGAAATGAGTAGACAAAAACCTGTTCAGAGATTGTATGTATAAATGCATGTTACCCATCCATCCATTTTCTATACCTGCTTGTCCAGGTTTTTGGGGGTCTGGAGTCTATCCAAGGAGCTACAACACAGGGCAGGAAATAACCCAGGATGGGGCGCCAACCCGTGGCAGGGCACAGTAACATACCATTCTCACCTACGGACAACTTGGTAACTCCAATTCACCTTAGAATGTTTTTGGATAGCATGTTTTTGCACTGTTGGGGAGGGATACTAGAGAAAACCCCACAACGGCCTGGGAAGAACATGAAAATGTCACACAGGTACAGCTGGAGCAGAGACTCGAACCCCAGTCCTAGAGGTATGAGGCAGCAGTGCTGACAACTGCATCACATACGTAGAGCTGGAGCAGACACTCGAACCCCAGTCCCAGAGGTATGAGGCAGCAGTGCTGACCACTGCACCACCCTGTGCGTGTTTCCTTTAAAATGAAAACTTTGCCAAAATAACTCCTGCTTACACCGAACTTGCTGTCTTTCTGGTGAAGGTACATTTTCTGTGTATGAACATGGTGAAACTGATCACCGCAAACACAGTGGTGAGGAATCCCAGCAGGCAGGCTGTGAAGAGGAAGGGTGCTACAGGCAGGGGAGTCATGCAGTGCCCTCCTTGGAGGTCCCAGTGTTTACCTACAGGACATCTAAAAAGGTTGAGAGACACAGGTGAGAGCAGCAGGCGAGCAGAGCCTGGTTCAGCCAGAGTGGAAGCTGGTCTTCCTGTCAATCAGGGTGGCATCGCAAAGGTACCGGTTCTCAGTCAAGAGACGGACAAGTCAGAACAGAGAGAACGTCCAGTGGCTGAATCTCCGTGGCTGCGGAGAGTCGTCTTCTGGTCCCATTAACAAATTAGAATAATAATAATAACAGTAGTAGTAGATGTAATGGCAGTAGACTGCATACAATGTGAAACTGAGTGGACCAAAGTAAATGTTTATAGATAACTAGAGATATCTGTGCTGTAAAAAGGGAGTTGATCCTACCTGCAAATGGCACCGTGCCCTGGAATAATCTCACACTGCTCCCCGTTGAGGCAGTAGGCCTGCTGGAGGTTACAGACACTCTGGCAAGGCAGGCCGTCCAGGGAAATGTAGCCAGGGTCACATAAGCACTCGGCCTCTTTGCTCCGACTGTTTACCACACACTGAGAGAATTCGTTGCAGGCCAAGAACTTGCAAGGGTCTGCTTGATCAGCTGAAACGGAGCCAGGAGGAAGGCGCATTAGTATGAATGAGATTCACGCCGGCCTGCTGCCCATTATCCCCGTCCTCTGGCAAACTGCCCACCTATTACCACACAATGAAGGCTCTGAAGGACCTTCGCTGATTTTTTTAATGAGGTGAAGACCGTGATAAAAGCCTTAACCATATATGGTTATTTAAAAACGGCTAACTGTATGGGAACAATGAGCACGAACTGACAAAGTTTCCCTGACATCAATGAGCATTTTTTATTTTTTCCTGACAGGTGAAACGAGTCTTCTATATTAACGCACAGCTATTGGCACTAATCTTGTATAATGATAAACATCAATCCTCTCACACCTATCAGCTCATTCCATCTAACGATACTTACCAGGCTCCACATCCAGGGAGCGTGTGTCGATATCAATATGCAGACGCTGGGAGGCCGCGCTGCAGAACTCCTCCAGCACGCAGTGCACAGCCTGAGTGATATTGTACGGCACAGACTTCGCAAACTTCATCTTGCTATTGACCACAATGCTGCCGTTCCTGAAGTTCAGGATCTCCAGCTGCTTGAATCCCGTCAAGTTGGACTGCAGGTATGGAAGTAGCTGGAAAATAATGGATGATCTTTAGAAAAGGAACGTCGTAATAGAGACCCAAGCCCACTACTGCACATAGTGTGACACCTGCCAAATACTATGACACCACATAGCAGGATTTTGTGCTTAATGACAAAACTGTTACATTCCACCTCGCACACTCTGATTTCCAGTTGGTGGTAAATTTGTTGACAGGGTGGCCTTGTCCTTGCTAGCTAATTTCACTGAATAGCAGAACGACAGACGTCTACCTATATTGTCTTTTATTCCAGTTTAAAACAAATGGCAGCAGCCTAAATATAATGCAAAGTAAATTTTAAAGAAATCTCATGCTTTGCATAAATTAGGACAAGGTTCCCCAATTCTGGTCCCGAAGGGCCCATCTGTAACGCATTTTATAACCGGCGAACCCTGAGTTAGGAGTAACAAACTATATAATTGCACTAATTGTCATGTATCCAGTTTCATATGTACGAAATTTCACAAAAAAGCCTCTAGGATGTATCTCATTATGATACAGTGTTTCCAAACACGCGCATTTCACTACCAGCACTCATATAACAGGGCAAGTCATTTGTTGCCTGTTTCTGTTTTTTTGTGCCTGTTTGTTTTGTTCCATTTATGAAATGGTTCTTCAGTAGTTTATCTCTTCAGCCATCCAGATAACGCCAATTAATTACACAATTATCGATTAATTCAATTTCCAGTTGTCCAATTTGCTTCTTGGTTGCACTGTAACTGTTTACACTGTATTAGAAGTTGGTAGATGATGATCAACAACCAGGTAAAAATGGGCTACACTTTTTTAGCTATATATTTGAGAGTCTTCGTTATTTTTCGCAGGCTCTGGCTGTATCATACATACTACAATGCCTAGCTATTGTAACACATTTTGATATGATTTGTACGATCTAGCTACACAGTAATGTGTACTTTCTTAGTTATAGATGTCATTCTCCTAAATAAAGGAGAAGCAATGGAGACATATCCGGCTTTTCAAATCTATTGTCTCCTGGAGGAAAATGAAAGGCAGATACTTCGGTTCATTTCAGGATTTTCTCGTGAGAACCCTGGATCTGCTGAATCTGCAGGTTCCTCTAGATCCCCACACATCACCCCTCAGCATCACAACACGTCTCACATCTCTTCTCCTGACCCCTGCTGATAATATATTTCGGTCCAAAATGATTCTTTATGTGAAACACTGGTATCTCATTTCTGAGTTCCTATCTGTTCGGATTGTTTTTCAAAAAGCGATTAGAATTTCCTATTCCCTACATTTGTCGCTTCTAGATATAAAGATTTTTTGTTTGTATTCACTAGACAGTTGTTTATTTTCCAAACAGACTTTAATACATTTGTGCAGCAGTTGTTCACTTTGATTATTTAGTTATTATTTAGTATCATTTACTAGCAGCACAATAAAACAAATATTCTTGAGAAAATCAAAATGTAGAACAATGTTTACCCACCAGTTCGAGGAACCTGTTCTCCAAGGCTTTGTACTCTTGGGAGCTCTTGTTGAACAGGTCATCGGAAAAGACCATGTTCGTGACTCGCAGGCTGAAAAACACCACTAACTCCTTGCCCTTGCTGGCTGTAGTCATGGAAGGAGTGGTGAGGTACTTCAGTGGTGGGACCACAGTGGTCTCCGGGTGGTCTCCGCTGCCGTAGTCCTGCAAGTCCATGGTTTCTGTGCTCACCATGTCTGTCTGGTTGAATTGGGTTGGAATAGCTGACAGAGTCGTGTCTATGAGTACGTCTATGTCTGAATCAGTCTGGGTACCTACACTCACTTCTTCAGCATCATATAAGTCAGGGGCTGTGAATCCCTGTGTATCAGGTGTGATGGATTCGGTGGGCGGCTTCGTGGTCAGCAGCTCCTCTGTGACTAAGACATCAGCCGTGGAATCGGCATCACCGGGCTCCAGGCTCTCTCGACTGATGCTGTCTTCTGATCATGTGGAATAAACCATGAGGAGAGGATAGTGCATAACATGGCGGGAAATACGCTTAAGGAAGCCAGCTTTCTATTTTGTGACACTATTTATTTGCTAATGAAAGAATGGCAGCAGCGAATCTTAATATTTAGAGATGTTTCCTGACCGAAATGTAGCCATTAGAAAGCTTTTTGTAGAGCAGAGCTATATTATATATGGACCTGCTATTTATAAATGCCTATTATTGATATTATGCTACATAAATTGTTAAATAAAAGTGTTAAATACACTATTTTGCCGGATGAGTGCTGTTGCTAGGAAATAGTCATTTCATTTAAAAATTGCAGTTTTGTTGATTACCCCGGTAATACCTGTGGAATCTTTCGCATTTATGCATATGGTCTCTCCATTTTTTTTTCCCCTGTTTCAGATGATATCCTTCACTGGAATTATTATTTTGATAATGTTGCATTACATTAACTTATCCAAAGTTCAGAGCGCAGGGTCTGCCAGTCCCTGTAGTGATTGGGGTTAAGGGCCCAGCTTCAGGATGTGACCCAGCACCCATCTGGTTTCACCGATGTTCTAAGCCACTGAGTCACACAGCAGCCACTTGGCTTTTTTGATACTGTTTTAATCAAATTGCTGTTCAAATATGTGCGTTAATGTTGATTCACCATTCAGATTTTCGTACCTGCCGTGCTGGTATCGGGTCGCGACGTCACCTTCGGGAAGTCTTCTTCCACGCCTGTAGTCCCTCCCTGATCGACGGTTCTGTCTCCCTCTGCCCCGTCTCCGGAGGTCAGGTCATCTTCTGAGCCTCGCTTACTGTCATCCTCTTCTGCTCCAATGACTGTTCTGTCAGTCATTTCTTCTCCATGAAGGACCAGAGTCTCAGTAGGGTCCTCAGGCAGATATCCTGCACCCGCAATGTCTTCCTCAGCCTGTGAGTCTTCAGTTTTTGGAGGTTCAATGGTGTCATCAGGTTGAAGGTCATCAGTACTTGAATCGTCCTCAGTCTGCCGGTCATTGATATTATCTAAGTTAGACTGGAGGTCACCAGTAGTATTCTGAGCATGAAGACCAGATTCATGCCCGCTGCCGGGGATTACATTTTTACTGATGTCATCAGTCGGAGCAAATGGGTGCTTTTCTGGAACAGAGGTAGAAACTGGATTATCAGGAGTCTGGAAAATATCCTGTTCCAAAGGTTCAGATAGAATGAAGTCTTTCAAGAGCTCACCATTGTCCTCGTAAATGGATTCTGTCGCATCTGTAATTATTGGCTTGACTTCTTCAGGCTTGTTTATTGACGGCATTGTTGCGACGAGATCGCTGCTTGTCAGCTCGGATCCATTCACAGTCCTATCAGTGATCAGCTCCGGGGCGCTGGCGGCCGTGGAGGGAGGAGTGGCGGCTTCCTGCCTGCCCGCCGTCTCCTCGGGAGTGAGAGGAACTCCCAGGAGCGTCTCCTCCGTCGCGGTCACAGGCTCGTCAGTCGACTCTGTCAGGTCGCCGGTGGCTCCTGAGTCCTGTGGCTTACATTTACAATGTGTATGTAAAATATATCTGTAACCATATTTACTCATTTCTGTAAAGCAGCAATGCAGAGAATCTCAGCAGTGAGTAGGAAATGCAGGCAGTAACTCACCACGTCGCTGATGACTTCTGAACCTTCCACCATTGGTGTGGGGGTTGGGTGGGTTACTTTATATAACGAAGAAGAAGAAGAAGAAAACACCATGCAAATGCTGGTAGAATTTCTATATCTGCTGTAGCAGTATGATTGTTCAGCAAAGTATGGAATAGCAAACACTTGGTATAACATTTAAACTGATAGTGATAAAGTAGAGATTTTGACGGTTTTTACGCAGTTGCCATTTGAATCGTAAGTCAGGATCTAGAGGAATCTTTGAATTTTCTGCCAAACCTGGATCAAAGCTGAGGGACCTGAGATCCACCGGCAGGGCGTTGTCTTTCGTCAGAGCCTTCTCTATCATCATCTTCAGGCTCTTTGTAACAGAAGAGGACGTTTTCCCATCTCCATCTGCTGCCTCTTTATCATCGACGTCAATGGATTCCATGTCCATCTCAAACACAACACTGTAGTGCACCGATATGCCACTGCATTTGAAGAGCAGAAATGTTTCATGAGAAGATGATCCAAATGTCATACGCTGCACTCTGCATGATCGCTGTGGATTCCTAGGAACTTCTTTTTGCTTTCGATATTTTACATTCCCTTACAAGTTTTCCACAATATAACTTTACTAACTTGACAAGCTTGACCTGCCCACTGATATTATTTAACAGAGGATCCTTCATAGTCCTACAGTAATCCTTTATTGTCATCAAGTCTTGAATCCAAAGGTACTGACTGGCGAGGCACATAGAACTTTCGAACAATATAAAACAATAAAGTTTTTGCCGTCGGCCAGCATGTTGTTTGAAGGAGGACAGTGGAGGAACATTAACCAGTCAAAAGTCTCTGCACACCACAGGTTTTTACCATTTTTCCATTTATTTCATAAACTGCAGATTCTTTTATCATTGTTAAGCTTTGGAAAGTTGAGTGAACAACTATAAATGAAAATGTAAGTCAAGTAAAACAAGTTTCCTTTATAAGATGGAAAGAGTGTGTAAGAGTGCATGTCTGACATCCTATTAACTGGCTGTGTGGTGATGGAAGAGTCACATTCTAGGCCGTCCTTTAACTTTAAATGCGTTAGTTAACCGTTTCATACCATGAAACAGCAGTATTTCATGTCCCTTGTAGACAGAATGTTTCACATTTTCTCTGCTGTTATAACTGCTACAGGAGGTTACTTTGATGAATCAAAGATATGACATTTTCTTGCTAATAAAGGTACTCAAACAGTAAACATGCTATAAATTAATTTGTTAGTAAAGAATATTGAATGTATTTTTAGTGATTTTTATGTGAGTAACATGCAAATGTAGAAAATCTCAGTGTGTGCAAAAACTTTTGACTGGTGGCGTATGCGAGACCCTATTGGCAGGTAAGAGAGTCAGGTGACCATGGCGATTCATGCTGGTCTGACCCAGCCGCCTGTCGCGCAAAGTCACTGTGAGTTTTGGTGTGTTCCGGGAGCTGCAGGAAGCGTGCAGTGCACGTTGTTTTTCAATTACATGTTTGTGGCTTTGCAAAAGGTCTTTTTTTTTTTTTTTGGTAATTGGCTAACTGCCAACCACAGTTTAAAAAGGATCTCTCACATCCAGCTGTGGTCGTCTTCATTGTGCTTCTGATCAGGGCTCAACGAATTGGCTAATTGCGATGCCCGTTGTGATCAAAACACAATTTCCATCACGGACATGGTATTAAAAAGAGTCACCTATGTAGTTTATTTTTTACTACGGACACAGACGAATCTCGCTCTGGACACGTTTGTCCGTGTGCAGACAGGCTGCCGATCTCTGCTCCTGATGCCTTTCCGAATAATATTTCACTTTGCATTGAGCCCCATTTGATGCTGCCGTTGAGCCAATTTGCTGAAGGTAATTAAAGCAATTGCCAGCCTGGCATTAGTAAGTCGGTGTGGATTGTGGCCCAGCTCCCCACACCAGCTACATATCGAACAGAAAGCCACCAGGAACAAGCACAGATGTCTACAGGAAAAACTCCAGAGGTTTCTCATCACTATTCAATTACCCATCAGTCTCCAGTGCCTCGCTGCGATTGACAGAAACAGGGAAAGAGAAAAATAATTAGTCATTATTTCTGAGCCTGCTATTTTCTGAAGTTATAAAAATTTTGCACATTATATATATATATACACATATATATACACGCATTACTTATTAAAGTATGTATCATTTTAATTGTATTACATTTAATAATTATATGAATTATTAAAGCACATTGTGTAACAGTATCGTGGGTACAGATTTAATCAATTCACAGTCTCCATTCCAATCCAGCACCTATCTGGACTTAACCGAAGACTGCAGTTCTAATATTTTTCTCTGAAATTTGAAGAATGTGGCATCCAAAGGAGCTGCTCAGAACCAATGAATGAAGTTTGTAAAGGCCGGTCAGGCCAGGCGGAGCATTGAGGCTGTGCAGGATAGAGGCGAAGTGGAACCCGAGTTCCCGCCTGCAGACCACCACGTCTCACTGAGACGTTGTCAGGAAACAGCATATTGCCAAAAAGATGGACATTTTAACCTGACAAGCTTTCGACCGTTTGGAATTCTTTATGCTGCCATAAAAAGGATTCTAAGAAAGAACTGTAGGGATGCAACCTTATTCCCAGCAGTCTGATGTCTTTGAATCCTGGTAGCTTGTCAAAACTTTGCTGCATCTGAGAAGACAAGCAATCAAATACTGAGATCATAAGTAACCCACAATCAGTGCAATGTCTGAGTAACATCTCAAGTTTAGTAGTAAAAGTAAAAGTAAAGTACAAGTAGAATCGTCAGTGTATGACCACTACTGATATTTCACTAATCTCTGTAAAAAACCATTTGTAAGATTTTATCCTAGATTATATAAATCTTGAAATTGAAGTTTGCTACCCTCTCCAGAATTGTATCCTGCCCATCAGCAGTACAATTCAGTGATCTGACAATGAATAAATATGATTATGATTAAGGAACAAAATGACATGGACAGATGCGATACTCATCCACAGAGAGCAATGAGCTATTGAAGGGTATTGAGTTTATTCTTTGACATTAATCATCTTTAATGGAATATCAAGATAGCCAATTAAACCACACCAATTCTCCCATAATCTTTGAAGATTGCTTTTTTGCATATGCAGGCCTCTGTCCAAAGACCTCAGCTGTCACAAATATCATCACACTAATACATGTGAAGGCAGAAAGTGTGAAATATCATCCTTTCTTATTTTTGCCTTTGTTGTGTTTCGTGGTCTGAACACCTACTGTCGCCGCGCTATATTGAAGACCACACTAAGCGTGGACTGTATCCCGGTTCAGGAGATGCAACCTTCCAAGGCTGCATTCGAAGACCCGGTGTATCACGGCGGTGCGATAAGGATGTCCCACCTCGGAGGCACCGTCAAATGCGGCCTGCGGAGTCGCGAAAGATCCACCCAATCGATCCCTTGCGCCCGTCCTATCGCCTAGCAGGGACACACCCTCTTTACCCCCACACAACGAATCTTCGGATACGTTGGGCTGCAAAGGATCGATTGGGTGGATCTTTTGCGACTCCGCAAGAGGAGCACGCATTTGAAGGTGCCTTCGAGGTGGGACATCCTCCGCACCGCTGTGATTAAGGTCTTCGAATGTAAATTTCCTTCTACCCCTGAATTCAGACACAGCCCATGATTCAAGCAGCCTACTAAGGCTACATGGACCGTGTCCTACAAAGCCGATCAAAGGTCTAAGACGGGGGTGTCAAACTCCAGTCCTGGGGGGCCGGAGCCCTGCACAGTTTTTGGTTTCCCCTCATTTAACACACCTGATTCAACTCCTTGTGCTAATTACCACACAGTTGTTGAGCTGAATCATTTGTGGTGGAACAGGGAAAGAGCTAAGCTACACAGGGCTCCGGCCCCCCAGGACTGCAGTTTGTCTAGGACATGCCTGGATTTACTTGCTTAGTAAATCAGTAAATTCACTCCAGATGGTCTTAACATCCTAATGGATGTGCAGGTTCTTCAGCTATCTTGCCATGGCTGTTGGAGCTGCAGGCTGTTAGAGAGGGGAAGGAGCCCAAAGAGAGAGCGACCTGTACCTGATCCCGCAGGTTCTGGGTGAGGTCATGGTACTGGGGGCTGTCCGGGTCATTCAGAAGATGGCCATATTCCGGGTTCACAATCGTAATGGTGAACTCTACCGCTTGCTCCACCAGCTGCTCCGGCACAATGTTGGGAAGTTCGGTCTCCTGATAAAACATCATTAAGTCATCAAGCCTTCAGAAGTAGCCCCACCATAGACAGCTGCCTTCAGCCTGCATAGAAATGTCTAGCCCAACAGGAATCCCAGCAGCTTGGGGGAGGCATCCTCACCTCCACTATAGTCTTGGTGACATCTGCGACGTCACTAGGAGATCCCGGCCGGCTCGGTGTTGGACCATAGGGTGGTGTCTCTGTTGGAATTTCTTTTGGACCTGCACACAATGTGTTTTCTTTTAAACATGAACTTCCTTCTCCACATTGTCGCCACATGTTTTTAATGGCTGATTACACATGGTTTTGTAACAGGCTGTGTACAGTACCTGCTATGTCAGCTGCGTTCTCAGTCGCTGGTCCCGTCTTTATTGTAGAATCACCACTGAAGTTATAAACAGTTGTTAGAGACACATACATACTCCATATAGTCACATGGCCTGAAAGATGCCATCCAGTAATAAAACTGGCCAAGATAATGTCTAATGCTTATGTAAGGCCAGTGTGGAATGCAGGAAATGGAAAAAAGGCATGTTCATCCCAGGGCAGGAATCATCTGACTGTGAATGTGGCAACGATGGTAGGAAGCAGGCTAATGACACGGGAGAAAATGGCAGAAATCGTCTTTAAATGGGAAACCTGTCACACACAGTGAGAGCGTGAGGGCTATGGCAGAGAGAGCACAGTGTTTGCAGATAAAGGCAATTTCATCTGAGCTGTAGGTACACATCTCATAGAACCAAAATGAGTTTATTAATCTTTGATGCCTTATATTTATTAAAAAGAAAAAAAAACTAGTTTCTAATTGTGAACAGAGAATTCACAGTGAGGCTGGGACTGTCTGTCTGGCTTTTCACTAGTGACTGTTGGGAAAACCTACAGTATGGTTACCCAACCCCCCACCAACTGGCAAAATGCATCATGGGTATGTACATATGTGTGGTTGGTCTGGACAAAAGTCAAAGGCTGATTTTTAACCTCAGTCCTGATTACAGACACCACAATATGTTTCAGTTCATTTACCCAAATTGGCTTACAGTAGAGGGAAAGGTCACAAATTTTTTGACATATGTTTCCTGGGATTCAACCCCACAACCTATGGGTTATTAATGCAATGCCCTACTTGTTGGGCTGCAGGAGCAGGTCATAGCTATGAGGCGTTTTATTCTCTTCTGTGACCAAATTGTTTGCATGAGTGCTCACATATTAACGTGTTTCACATGCAGTGATAATGACAACAAATTGTGGGGGCTGCCCCCCCCGCTGCTACTGTATCATTAATCAGGCACCCATCCTCGTCCCTCACTGTAGTCCGCGCCGTATGTCTGTGTGCTTACCGCCCACGAAGCTTCTCATCTCGCATGTTCACTCTCTTCAGGAAAAAAGAAAGAAAAAAATAAATGTTAAAAGAAAAAAAGTGAATGTTTCCCTATGTAATATAATATGTAATTTCGCACATGCACACATAGTTTCTCTGCTAAAAGTAATGATTTCAGTGTAATGCTTTATGTTGTTTCAAGTGTACAGGCTTTGATATCGGTCAACAATAGAATATGTCTGTGTGTGTTTGATGATCTGACCCTTAGAAGGACATTCTGTGCTTTATAATGACAGTACTATGGAGACCAGCTGAGTATTTGTCAGGGAATAAAACGTCTGGCATTATTACTGATTCATCACAGA